GTGACCCCCCCCCCCCCCCCCTTGTCGTTTTGGAAACTTGTTGGCGACATCGCGCCGCTGATCGCGAGCGTTGACAAAAACAACTCTTTGAATAAAGGCTTTCGAAAATGTAGTCAAGCTTTGAGCATACCCGACATTGAATATAGAAGCCGGCATCAAGGATGTTATTATTCACAAGGGCAAAATCAAAACACATGATGCGAGGTTTAGTCGTCTCATTCGCGGTGTTGGCGACGAGCCTTTTGATGACATTTCCGATCAATTATTTGATAAGGTTGCGCTGTCGGTTAATATCTGCATCGCAAGACTGCTTTTTTTTTTCTTTCTTGCAAGCCAAACTGAAACACATCCGGTTTACTGGTTGACCCGTCTGTTTTTTGTTGTTGCCGTGACCACGGTGAATTTGCATATTTACAAAGCGCAGAGACAACGTTGATAAAGTCGCCAGCGCGAACAGGAACGTGTGATGCGCGATTGTGGCGTGACCACAAGTCGGCGTGAAATGTTTTCAAGTAGACGACGCAAGCGGGCCACCAATTGGCGCGCGGCGTCTGTTAGCATGATAGCCGTTATTTGAGAAAATGACGCAATGGTTCTCCATTTTTTTAACGCCTCGTAACATCGTCATCACACACCGTCATCACCAGCAACAAGGAAGTTCAATACAACTGAGCTGTATTTAGGCAGCGCTTCTTTTGCGTCGCGCGAGTGCTACGTGCGCTACACATTGAGAATCGCTGCTCGCATGAGTCCAGAAATGCTAAGAACTCCGTTCATAATTTGTCTTCATGGTGGCTATTCGGTAGGCTGTTCTCTGATTAGCAGGCGCTAACACGTCATTATCTACAGCTCACACATACACCCACGCACGCTTCTTTCAACATATTGATCCACGACTTGAGTTTTCCCAGCCCCCCTTCCGAAGAGCTCATAAATAAATCTCAGACTCTTTGTTTTAAATCCATAGCAGCCCCCCCATCCGTCTGTTCTTCCTATAGTCTCTCTCCTCGACACCTTGCTTACTTTGTGATTTTTCCCACCACTTCACGCTCATGCGGATTAAAAAAAGCCTCTCGCGGCTCCAGGTTCTCCTCCCAAGGCATCGTTCGGGACTTTTCTTACATCTCATTTTCATTGTCTCTGTTTCTTCTTCTTTTTGTTTGTTTGTGTGCATCTCTTTCACGGCGGTTTCCATCTGTTGTGTTTTCCATCGGATCTCTCAGGCCTTTCTTTCACACGTAAGTTTCCTCTGTCCGGTCCTGTCGGCTTTCTTTTCCCCTTCCGATCCAAAACACGCTTTTGATAGAGCGAACTCACAAGACATCACTTCCATTTTTTTTTTTTTCCAGATGGCATTCCGTTCCATTTCTTTAAAGGTTTGTTAAGCAGTGGGGTAGATTATATCTGTATTTTAGCTTCCCCTTAGCATTCCCTCCCCACCTCCTTAACATTTTTCTCTGTCCAGTAAATTGCAAATTCAGCTCGTTCGTGTCGAGCGAGGTCGTTAAATGAGGTACATGCAACTGGGAACCAAGGTGTATTATCATAAGGAAATCAACGAGGTACTTACCGATCGTAATGTTCAAGGCTGGACATCTTTGCATTTAAATCTCCCCCGTAAGGATTATTCTATAAAGAGCTCCAAGTCCCGCAAATCTTGCTTGTTCGCGCTCGTAGGAGTGCACTTTTATTTTTCATCCTTTTCATGTTATGTTTATACTTTTAAGATGCACATTTCGTTGGATCGTAGCTCCAATTGGGATGGGACAGAAAGTGGCCTCGTTTTTAGCAACTCCTGCTAAGAGTTGCAAATGTGTCTTGTAAAAAATGCAAAAGATGATTTTTGTTAGTTATAAAGGTTTGTTTGCAAGAGGTTGCAATTATTGGTATACATACTGTGTATTTGAACAGTGTGGTAGTGGTCGTCTTGCTGCTATACCAATTGAGATGGACCATTTTGAAGACTTGCGCTAACATGCTAATAGATGCTATAAAAATATGAGATTCTGTGTGGCAGTATAGCAACTAGACAAAGCAATCAACATGTTCCACCATCTTTCAAAATCTTCCACCAGCGTCATCGGAGGCTCCGCCCCTTATTGTCACCACCAGTATGGCGCTTAGTGAGTATGCCACCATGCTCGCCATTGCCGTCGCTAACTTGCTTGCCGTTGGTGTGGTGAGCTATCGCTAGCATCGTACAGCATACCCAAATGGACGAGCTTAGTGGCGGATTTACTAACCGCATTGAAATCGATGTCTTTCGTGTGATGAGTTGTGAAACACTCCTGCAGTGATCATAACATCTGGAATGCATCGTACTCAAAGTAACGTTTGTAACTCCAATGGAGGGCCAAAAATGTTACCCAATTCCTGTCTTTTTTATTTATTTTTTTTGCAAGCGGGTGATAAAAGCGGCAGTAGTTTTCAGTTCGTTGACACACAGACAGTCAACAGATGAGCCAATTTGAACTCTTGTTGCTAACCAAAACATCCATAACCACGGAGGCATGACAAAATTGTGTGTCCATGTCAATGTTCTAGGAAGTCTCGCTTCTTAATTTGTTTCAATCTCCAGTTGCGCTTGGAATATACCGTGAATATTTTTATTCAGTCCAAAAACAAACCAAATTAAATGCCTGTTCGACACTTCCCCCCATCTGCCATTGAGTAAATAAACGCCTCCCGGGTCTGTTATTCTAGTCGGCGAATAGATGTGTGAAATCAGCTGACTTTTCACCTTTTCTTTAGCTTTGCATCTTCCAAGAGGAGATTCAGTGCCAGGGCCAATTACAAATGAATGTTATGCTCAAAGGTTTGTGACGAGAGAAATGTCGCTGGTGCAATTCATGGCCAATGGGGCCTAATAAGTGGATGGCATTAACTAATGATGATGATGATTATGGTAGGAGGTGGGATGCCTGAATGGAATTCAGTGTGTCGATGGTGACTGCCACGACTTAGGGACCCTAAAGTAACAATTACCTCAACAAAAATAACACTTCCCTACTACTGCTTACTTTCTCTGTGACTGTAGTCTAGAAATGGGTTTCAGAATTCACATTTAACACGTCTCTAACTTCATGTTGGCCACAAACGATCATTGTCTTCACACTTTACAGAGCAATTACATGGAAGAGACTGGAAGCTGTTTCATGCGCCTCCCAGTTGGAGTTGACAGTCCAACTCAACATAAAACAAAGTCGAGTATCACAGGAGATATAGTTTTGTGTCTGCATGTCTGTATTATGCTGCCCCCTGGTGGCAGAGTCTCTCACACCAGAGGGAGCCAGAATGAATCAAGGGCTGTGTCCAAATTCACAGGCTGGGTCTTCTAAAGGCCGCATGATGTCACTTCCGGCGCGACTCCGACCGCACGTGGTGTCCAAATTTGCCGCGGTTTATGCGGTCCACGAAGGCTCGATGAGGAGGAGCCTTTGAAGGTGGCGAAGGACCCAGCCTGCGAATTGTCTTATATATATTATAATATGTAATTTATTTATTCCAGCTAAAAAAAAATCATAAAACATTTTACGTTGTTTCAAGTAACATTTTAAACTCTCATTTATTATTTGTGTTGAAAAGAATCTGTTGTTGTTATTGTTTTTTTTTTTAGTTCATTACATGTGTGCAACATTGTTTTCTGTTTATTTTACGTTCACATTTTCATCATTTCCAAAAATGTTTCCTTTTTTTGTACCCTTCCCTCATGCTCCGCCCCCATATTTACTCCCGTCGGCCAATCGTGTGATTGTGCGTCATGTGACTTTGACTCGTGGCTGATGATGTCGACATCGCCGGCCAACAGAAGGTAACTTTTGCTCACTATTTTGCAGACGAATGACTGTTCAGGAGCACGTTTTCTGCGGACGTCATTTTGTAACACGACATCCATTATTAAGACATCGCTCATGCCAATGACTTCCACCCTAATCCGTTATGGCGACTCCAATTCATACTCGAAATGACTCTCGGTCGACTAACGTTAAAGATTAATGCCAGTGCGCGTTCTCGTAAGCAATCATCACATTTTTGTCACAGCGAGACTGTTTTTGGGAGAGAGAATGTGACCTTGACAAAAGTGCAAGTTTAACCCTTCCATTTACCAATAATGACAACCTGTAACCTGATAAGATGTCCACTGTCGTGACCACTGTCCCTGATTAAAAAAAAATATATACATTTTTGTCTATAGCAGATCACCATTTCTTTTTGTTACTCGTTTATTAACTCTCTGCTTTTGAATTTGTCGATGACCACACCCAAACGTTGCTTTAAACTGAACGCGTATTGTGTTGCAATGCACTTTTTTAAATTGTCGCACAACAACCTCATTGTGTTCGCCCCTGATGAGCCTTAATCGTTGACATTATTTTGAATTTCCTGACATTTTCTTCATTTTGAGTCGAATTTGATTGGACGGTCAGTGACATGAACTGCTGCATGCAAGTCGATGCCTTCTCCCTCTTCGACCACTTCCTGTTCTTTTGATTCTCACAGGAAGTTCTGTGTGTGCATGTGTCATCACTGTCATGTCTTATCCATCCCCGTCATCACCTCACTAGAATCCAATGCATTTTTAAGACAATTTTTTTCAGGGCTGGTGTGCCATGAAATTTTTACCGGTAATCTAATGTTGGGAAACACTTAGTATAGCCTCTCTATGTACTGTTTGTCCCGTGAACGCAACTCCGCTAACTTCACAACAAGCCCCAGTTTTGATAGTGAACAAATGTTTGAAAAAAAAAAGGGCTTCGAGCTGTTTAATTCCGTCTCCAGATAAAGTTAACTGGCAAACAAAACGTAAATGAAAGCGAATTACATGTGGCGTATCCAAAACAACCATGCAACTTTGTTTTAGTGCCCATCAGCTTCACATTAACATATGCGGTTGGGAACTCCATAGACGAACTAACAAATGGCATCTATGTGCTTATATCGTTTTTCGGGACGGATATTTAAGTGTCATTTTTGTTTTTGGTTGTTTTTTTTGATTGGCTGGAACCGATTAACGGCAATTGCATTCATCTCAGTGGGCAAAGATGACCCTAAAAGCTGAAACTTGTTATTTTGGGGGGCTTTAACCCACGTTCATGAACGTATGCTTTAAAACGAGTACCTCTGGTATAATTTACACATTGCCCCGAGCAGCCCTAAACTTTGCAGCCTGCATGAAGGAGTTTTTTTTTTTTTTTTTTTTTCCTTCTTCGACTTTTTTTTTTTTTCTTTGTCTCTCACAACCTTCGTCCATCTGTTTGAGCCTCAGAGGAAAAACAACAATAAAAGAAGCTAACCGCAACATTGCTTACGGACAACAATGCTGTCTGCCTGCCACCTTTTTCTTTTTTTTTTTTTTTTTTCTCTCTCTCCCCTAACCTTCACTTGTAACTGCACTTGTCAGACTAACTTGGAATGTACATCGTGAAACACAATCTTAACCATTTTCTGTTGTCTGTTGAATAAACGCCACAGGCCAACATTCAAGTACGCATCAAATATGAGGTGGAGGGTTGCCACACAGGATATTTCAAGTGGGATTGAGTCTTTCATGTAACCGTGGAGCCAAGACGTGTATTCATAATTAATGAGCGTCTTCCACCGTGCATGGTCAACAAACAACAAACCGACCCAACTTCCTTAGCATTAATCTCCATCGACGGCCCGAAGCTCATTATCCAGCATCCCGGTGGTCATTACTCAGGGGACGCAGACCTTAATGAGGAGCCCAGCCATGCCCTCAAAGTGATAGTCCACAAAAGACTGCCTTGGAAGTTTTTTGGTTTTCTTTTTTTCGAAGGGTCCACTCCTCTACTGCAGCGGTTGCTTTAAAAACACCAATTTGTGGCAGCTGTTTCCATGGCAACCTTTCTGTTAAATGCTTACTCTCATTTACTCTTCGTAGGGGAACCCAGCGCCCCCAAGCTGGAGGCCATGGTTCAAAATCAGGGTAATGCTCTGAAGGTCAACTGGATCAAGCAGGACGACGGCGGCTCCCCGATTAAGCATTACCTGGTCCGATACAAGGCTGTGAGTATTCTCAAATTGCTTTCTTTCTTTGTATTTTAAGTGGCAAAGGGTTTTTGGTGCCATCTTGTGGGGTCATGATCCCAAGGAACAATGTTGAACGCATTAAGGAGCTTTATTTTGACAAAAGTAGAGTTTTGCCCGGAGTATAAACCCTTTTAAGGTGGGTGTCAATTTCCTGTAAATGTTGAATGAGCTGATGAGCGTTATGAATTTTATTTGTCTGAATATTTTATTTCAATTGCTTTCAGTGTGGTGTTGTGATCATTTCAGAGGACACGTTTCAAATTAAACTTTTTTTTTTTCGACTTGAGTCTAGTCAAAGTCAACCCTGACAATATTTTGCCGCCCGCTTCTTCCTCAGAAGCACGTGTCCGACTGGAAACCGGAAATCCGCATGCCGCACAGCAGTGAGTACGTGGTGTTGGGCGGACTGGACTGGAACACCGAATACGAGGTCCGTGTTGTGGCGGTCAACCAGAAGGGCAAATCCGAGCCCGGCATCCTGTCCTTCAGAACAGCCACAGAACCCACCACCATGCCAGGTACTCGATTCATTCTGCCTTGCACGCACGCACACACACAAGACGCTTTATTTGCTACTGCGAGGCGTTTATGTGGGGGGGGGGGGAAATCACAATAAAATCAAAACTTGAAGTTTTGATTTCAAGTTCACCGTCAAGGGCAAGCGGGGCAAAAGTACGCCCCATGTAAATGTGCAAAAATGGGCCCAAATTGTACATTCAAATACTCCTAAAACACTCCTTGGACAATTTACAGTGTGACAACCAAAGTCTTTTTTTTTTTCTCTCTCACATTTTTGTTTTCGCAAATTTTGTAGTCCTCGATCAAATGTATCGGGTTAAGGCTCCGTTAAATCCATTTCGGGTGTGCTACCGACACATTTCTTTGTATTTGTGTATGACAACTTAAAAATAGAACATTTTGCATTCGAGTTTTGGTTCATTTTTAGACGCACAAAAATTCAAATCATTACGGAGAATAATAATAATAATTTCTACATAAACCATAGCGACCTCGCAGCATGATTTCGTTTTAAATGTCATGAACGGAAATGTTAATTGGGAGAAGGTGATGATATTGTGCAAATATGCTGTCGAACTACCATGACAACAAAAACTACGCGCACCAAAATGTCCGTTCAGGGTATATGCTGAATATCATGTTTGGATTGGCATTTCAAATGCAACTGCAGATTTTGCAGCGATACCTTCACCAAAGAGAAGGCGATTTGCATTTCAAAAGGCCACTCACGATATAGCAGCGGCCAGTCTCG